CGCCTCTCTTACTCTGTCCTTGTCTGTGACACGCCGGCCGGCGGCTGCGCTGACCAGAGGCTGTTGTGGTAAAACACAACGCTTTACCCAGGTGGTCAGCAGTGGTCACTCGCCGTCCTCTCCTGTTCAGATGATGAATCTGTGTCCGTGTGACCTGACACAGTGATGTATCTGCCAGGGCTTCTCTCGCTCGCTCTCTTTTATGTATTTGCGGCTTCTTTCACTTTATTTTGCCTTCTTCTTCTCTCTATTTGTCATGTGTCCCCTCACAATCTCTCCACTTTTCTCTGCAGATTCGTTTTATCTGCGGCGAGGCGCTGCTTATTAGGGTGGGCGGCCCTGTTCCTGTTTGCTGTCTCTTTTTTTTGGGGCATTGATTTTCACCGAGGGCGCTTTAAAAATATCCCATCTGACCTTTGGGCATCGCTGAGGACTGTGGAAATAGGTTCCCGAACACACTCGCTCGATGACATTACGGGGAGTCGGATGTTTGTGAGGGGCTGAAATAAGACGAATGGATAGAAACAGACAACATCTCTCCATCAGACGCACGCATTTGTAGAGGAACACGCGTCTCCCGAAGGAAAGAAAAATCACCAGTCAAAAATCACAAATAGAAAACACTTTCAGACGAGTCTCAAACTGTGCTCAGGTTTGCCAAGATGCCAAAGGTTAGAGATATAAACTCGAGATGATAGAACTATAAAATGCGATCCTCTATACTCTTAAAGGAGTAGTTCACTTTAAAAAAAAAAACTTTTGCTGAAATTTGATAAATTTCAAGATGTCCATGTCTTTCTTTCTTCAGTCGAAAAGAAATTAAGGTTTTTGATGGAAACATTCCAGGATTTTTCTCCATATAATGGACTTCAATGGGAACCAAACGGTTCAAGGTCTAAAAGGCAGTTTCAGTGCAAACTGCAAACTGTTCAAAGGGCTTTAAACGATTTCAGACGATGAATAAGGGTCTTATCAAGCGAAACGAGCGCTCATTTAATAAATAAATAACAAAGTTTATGTTTTATAAGCTCAAATGCTCGCCTTGCTCTGTTCTGTGATGCGCGTTCGTGACTCTCCTGTTCATGAAAATGAACTAATCTTTTCCAGAGTCAATTCGTTCATTGAGTTCGTTGAATAAACCAAATGACACGATAAAAGATTCGTTCATTTTGATAAACAGGAGAGTCACGAACGTGCATCACAGAACAGAGCAAGGCGACCATTTGAGCTTATAAAACTTAAACTATATATATTTTTTTTTTAAATGAGCGATCGTTTCACTTGATAAGACCCTTATTCATCATCTGGAATTGTTTAAAGCCCTTTGAACAGTTTGCAGTTTGCACTGAAACTGCCTTTTAGACCTTGAACCGTTTGGTTCCCATTGAAGTCCATTATATGGAGAAAAATCCTGGAATGTTTCCATCAAAAACCTTAATTTCTTTTCGACTGAAGAAAGAAAGACGTGGACATCTTGGATGACATGGGGGCGAGTAAATTATCAGCAAAAGTTTCCTACTTTCCTAGTTTCCTACTCCTTTAAGGTCAATGGTTAATGCCGTCAATGGGCAACCAGATAAAACACAGGGCCCATAACCAGTATGAATTATCCAGATATAAATGTATTGTCCATTTTCAATGGGAAAATGCCCAACCAACAATCGTTCAGAAACTTAGATTGCTCCAAAAGTTGCCCTGTGTATCATCACTTCACTGGATGACCAGTAGGGTCAGTTTACATCTAACCTAATAAACTTTCGGAGCATCTAAGACAAAGTTCATGCATGAAACATAATGCCAATATAAACATATTGAGAGCTTCATTAGGACTCATGAGCAGTAAAATAATAACCTAATATAAGGGGATGGATGGATGATCCGTGGAGTCTGTCTGGGAGAAATTACTGAGATATTAAATTATATTTTGTTGCGTTGCCCATGGCTTTATATTGTATAAAAAATGAAAACTGCTTCATCAATTACTCACCCACATCATTCCACACCGGTAAAACATTTCTAAGGAGTGTGAATAAAAGACAACTGTCACAATATTTTCCCTTTAAACTACTTTTAGAAATGAAATTTGGTGTTACGGAAACGACTAGAAGTGACACTCACAAAAGATGCGCACAAACACACACACCACAGAAGTGCAATGTATTGTGTGTTTGTGTGTGTTCTGGTGTGGTTATGAGTAATAAACCTCTCTCTCGCCGTTCTGCCCGTCACAGAGAGTGAAGGCAGTGCGGATCAACCTCATTATCCTGATGGAAATTTGGGCAGATGTGCGAAACCTCCACGACACACGCAAACAGCAGCTCTGTCGCCCGCAGCCAATCAGATGAAGACCAGAGGAAGAACCGCACTGAGAAACACCACCATTACACCCAGAGAGAGAGAGAGAGAGAGAGAGAGGCAGCGTTTCTGGTGGAATAGCAAATAAAAGAGAGATTTCAGCCTTTTTAAAATTCTGATTGGAAACAAATTGGGGGTTTTGAAG